AAATATTTATTATACTTATGTCCTCCTGGTGTATTGACCCTTTAATCATTATATAGTGCCCTTCCTTACCTTTTGTAGGGGATTTTACTTTAAAGTCTATTTTGTCAGAGTTTAATATTGCCACTCCTGCTCTTTTTTGAGTGTTGTTTGCTTGATATATTTTTTCCATCCTTTGACTTTTAGTTTGTTTGTGTCTTTAAGTCTAAGGTGTGTTTCTTGTAGGCAGTATATAAATGGATTGTGTTTTTTTTCTATCCAATCTGGCACTCTCTGTCTCTTTATTGGTACATTTAGTCCATTTACATTCAGCATAATTATTGATAGGTATGAGTTTAGTACTGTCATTTTGATAACTTTTTGTGTTGTTGAAAATTTCTTTGTTCCACTTAATTTTCTGTGCTGAGTCAATTTTCTTTATGTATTTTCTTTTCATATTTTTCATTGTTGATTTTGTGTTTGCTGAGTGTTTATGTTTTTCTAGTTTTTTTTAAAATTTTGACTTGTAGGATTGTTAGTTTCCTTTGTCGTTACCTTAGTATTTACCCATATTTTTGTAAGTTTATACCAGTCTTTTATTTCTTTATATTGCCTTGACTTCCTCTCCATATGAAAAATCTACGTCTACAATTTTTAGTCCCTGTATTTTGTTTTAATGGTCTCATCTTTTAAATATTGACATCTCTGATTCCTTATTTTCAGTGTTTTGGCTTTGATTTATTTTTATTACTTCCTTATCTGGGTTGATATCTGGTTGCTCTGCCCTGTGTTATAGTCTTGGGTTGCTATCGGCTGTTCTTGATTTTCTAACTGGAGGACTCCGTTTAGTATTTCTTGTAATTTTAGTTTGGTTTTTGCAAATTCGCTCAACTTCTATTTATCTGGAAATGCCCTAATTTAACCATCATATTTGAGGGACAGTTTTGCTGGATATATAATTCTTGGCTGGCAATTTTTTTTGTCTTCAAGGCTTTATATACGTCATCCCATTGCCTTCTTGCCTACATGGCTTATGCTGAGTAGTCCAAGCTTAGTCTTATTGACTCTCCTATGTAGATGACTTTTATCCCTAGAAGCTCTTAAAATTCTCTTGTTATGTTTGATTTTGGCAAGTTTGATTATAATATGTCTTGGTGACTTTCTTTTGGGGTCTACCTTATGTGTGGCTCGATGAGCATCATGGATAGATATCTTCTCATCTTTCAAGATATCAGGGAATTATTCTGCCAACAATTCTTCAGCAATTCTCTCTGTATTTTCTGTTATCCCACTGTTCTGTTACTCTAGTTACTCGTAGGTTATTCCTCTTGATATAGTCCCACATAATTTTTAGGGTTTCTTCATTTTTTTAAATCCTTTTATCTGATTTTTTTTCTCATTTAAGTTGGTGTCAAGTGTTTTATCTTCAATCTCACTAATTCTGACTTCCATTGTCTCAGTTCTGTTCCTATGACTTTATATTGACTTGTCTAATTCTGAAATTTTATTGTTAATCCCCTGAATTTCTGATTGCTGTTTCTCTATGGATTCTTGCAGCCTGTTAAATTTGTGATTTTGCTCCTCTCTAATCTTCTTAAGTTCCTCTATTGTTTCATCTGCGTTTTGCATCATTGCCTTCCTGATCTCTTGAAGAATTCTGTATATTAATCTTTTGTATTCTGCCACCTGTAATTCCAAGAAATTTTCTTCCCCTGGAAAATTACTTGATTATTTTGGGAGCTTGCTGAAGCCATCATGGTCTGCCTCTTTATGTGATTTGATATTGACTGTTGTCTCCAAGGCATCAATAGTTATTATATTTATTTTATGTTTGCTTGCTGTGTATTAGCTTCTTGTTTTATTTTGTTTTGATATGTCCAGATAGGTGGCTGCTCGTGTGAGGTAGCCCAATCACTTGTGACTCTGATGCTCCAACGTCCTACCACCAGGTGGCCAGACCTGCCACTAATGTGAGCCCTGGAGTCTGCCCACTCTCCTGTATGGATTCAGCTTAGGTGTCCAGGTAGTCGGCCACCAAGTGTGTGGTGCAGGCTCTCACCAACAGTCTTAGACACGCAAGGTTGATTGGGGTAGACATAGGCATCTGGCTGCAGCAGGGAGTCACACGCTGAGCAAGGCAGGAGGGTGACGGCCACCCCTGAGTGTCTGGGAGAAAATAGCGCCCCTGTTCCCTAGAGCATGCCAAACCCAAATGGGTGGGTTTTGCAGCCAGAATTTGAGCACCCAGTGCTGTTGGCTGTAAGGACTGTGGGGCACCACTTATTCTTGGGTGCCTGTCACAGGTGGCTAGGTGGTGTAAGAGGAGCCACCAGTCCTCAGGCCCCTGATGTGGGTAGGTGAAGGCTCTGCTTAGTGGGCCGAGCAGTGTTAAATGTCACAAACCTGCCACTTCATAGCTGAAACAGTTGAAGTTAGATTTCAGGTATATACCCTGTTGTACTCTGGTAATGAGGGACTATGCCGTTGAAATGGGCCCACACAAGTCTATGCAGGGGGAAAGGCACTCAAAGTCTGTGGACTCCTTATGTCTTTGCCTAAGCAAAGGAGTTGTGCCTACCCTGAGTTCCTGGCTCAGGGGAGCTGGCAGATTATTTTTCCCCCTCTTTGTTAATTTTTTCCCTCTCCAATGCCAGGAGAATGGCTCAGGTGCATGATGGGTCCTACTTCCAGCCAAGGGAACTTAGCAATTGCTGAAGCCATCCCAGACCCAGTGCAAAGCAGGGAGCCGGGACGTAAATAGGAGACAGGTTTTTCCCAAAGGAGGGGTGTTTTTGATCCATGCAGTAAGCCATACGCAAGTACTTACCTTTCACCAATTGAGGGTTGCTTCTCATCGAGTATATTCTCTGCCTCTGGGTCTCTCCCAATGTGGAAAACACCTCCCGAGCACTGCTACTGCTTCACCATGCACCAGGAGCTGATCCAGCCTGAAGGTCTCCAGCTCCTGCCAGGTCAGGTCTGGCAACTCCTCGCTGCTTCTGAACCGTCTTTCCTCTCCCTGCCACTCAGTCTGATTCCTCAACTTTGCCTTTGATGTTTAGGTCTCCTAGATTGTCATATATAATCAATTCACTTTTTTGTTTGGGTCTTTGTTGTGAGCAGGACCACCGGAAGCATCTGACTACTCTTCTATCTTGGCCCCGCCTCCATATTTATTCACACTTGATGCTCTTAACTGTTGTTTCGAACTTTGAACACATAAAGGGACATTGTTGACAAAGTATGTCAAGATTTTAAAGTTCTACAACATTTTTTTCCAGGAAGATTTCCATTAAAAAGTGAGAAATTACATCTCTTTAGGGATTCTCCTGGGTTATAGAATAAAATAAAGGTATAAAGCGTGTAATAAATAATGTAAATATTTTTTATAAGAAAATTATACTCTTCTTTTCTCCCCTCTCACAATCCTATGACAATTCCCTTGGCCTGATGATCTCAGTCTGAGAATCCCAGAACTCTAATGCATCACTGGGTCACAACCTTCTTTTTACTGTAGCTAATTAGTTGTCTATTTGTGTCTCTAATTGTTTTATATACCTTCTTGTCCTAGGTAGGGTGAGTAGTGGGATGTGGGTAATGCTTATGCACAGGAGGAAATTTAGTTTGGGGAACTTCTCTGGCTCCCTAACAGTGATGCCATCTGAGGTCTTTGATAGATAAGGTAGGTGATGGAGGTAAGGAGAGGCGGTGGACAAAGGTGAAACAGTTGATTGACTACAATCTACCAGAAGAAGAGCCCCTTTTCCCAGTTTCCATGCCTCCAGAGAGGGAGGATATAACAAAAGGAGCAGAAATTGCACAGGAATGGAGAGCTGGGGCAATTGCATGGAGAAAGGCATATGAAACCAAGTGAACTTGATTTTTAATGGAGATCCAGATTTGAGAATCAAGATGTGAGAGAAAGATAGTCACCATAACCTTACAATTATTGTCCCTGTTTTTAAGGTCTTTTATCCCTCTTCTTTTTGCATTTTCTCCACATTTAAGCACATTCTGGCTTCACTTGCTATATTGCCAGCATGTAATCTGGTCAAACAATATCAATATGACTTCCAGCCCCTAAAGTTCTCTGCCTCTTTTGTGATACTCCATTCTGCTCATTATGCCAAAAGAATGTGCTACTAATATTCTAAATATTGAGTTCCTGTGCATTTCTGAATGGTGTCAAAAAATATTTCTGCTGGCTTTTTCCCAAGTTCATGATTTTCGTCTTCAACAGGGTTCTCAGTTGCTTGGAAAACCTTTTATTCATCACCTAACTGTTTATTGATAATTTCTATCCCACAAGTTTTCTGTATGTAGTATATTACCTTACTTTCCCACCTTTTTTTAAAACTGCTTACCCTACTTTATTGAAATTTTCATTTCTAATCTTACTGTCTCCACTTTGTCATCATTCATTACCTCCATGCAATCTTGATTCTCTTTCTACTATTTTATTACAACTACTGTCTTTATTGGCACTAAAGATGTCTCAGCACTAAATCCATGTCTTTTTCTTAGTCTTTTCCTTTATAATCACTGTCTAGCATATGAAAGTAACAGCCATCGGTTACATTTTTGACATTTCTTTTTTCCTGTTGCAATGCATAGAAAGTGAGCTTTTTTCTCCTTATATTTTATTTATTTTGTTATTCATGTAGTATAAATTGAGCCCCTCAGTAAGTAAAAATACTAGTAAAAGTAACACGATGATGGTGATAAACTAAAAAACCAAACTCACTGCCATCAAGTTGATTCTGACTCATAATGACTCTGTCATACAGAGTAGAAACAACTGCCCATAGGGTTTCCAAGGCTGTAAATCTTCACCGAAGCAGATTGTCACGTCTTTCTCCCAAAGAGTGGCTGATGGGTCCCAACTGCTGATCTTTCAGTTAGCATCCAAGGCTTGCATTTGTTCTTTTTTTGGCCATGTATGGCTCCTCTATTAATTTTCGTTGATAACTTTATACGTTATCTTTTAAGCAAAACTTTCTTTCTTGTGACTTCTAATTATATGCATAATGTGAATATCCTTGAATAATTAATCATTATAATTCTAGGGTATTAATGCCATCGTTATTTTTATTTCCTTTTCATTTTCTTTTAGCTGATAACTTTAGAGTACTCTAGCTGATAAATCAATGGATGGAGCAAATCACTCAGTGGTGTTAGAATTTATGTTCCTGGGACACTCCAATTCCTGGGAGATCCAACTTATCCTCTTTGTAGTCTCTATGTTTTATGTTCCAATCATGATGGGAAATTCCCTCATTGTCCTTATGGTGACTTCTGACCCTCACTTACACTCCCCCATATACTTTCTGTTGGCTAATCTCTCCTTTATTGACCTGGATATTTCTTCTGTTATTTCCTCCAAGATGATTTACAACCTTTTCAGAAGGTGCAAAGTCATCTCCTTTGGAGGCTGCATTGCTCAGATCTTTTTCATTCATGTCATTGGTGGTGTGGAGATGGTGCTGCTCATAGCCACGGCCTTTGACAGATATATGGCCATTTGTAAGCCTGTCCACTATTTTACTATTGTGAGCCCCAAAATGTGTATTTTGCCCCAGGTTGCTGCATGGATAATTGGTTTGACCCACTCTGTGTTTCAACTAGTTTTTGTGACAAAATTGCCATTTTCTGGTCCTAATGTGCTGAGTAGCTTTTACTGTGACTTCCCTCGATTTACCAAACTTGCCTGCATATACACCTATAGACTAGAGTTCGCGGTCACAGCCAACAGTGGGTTTATCTCTGGGATCATTTTTGATCATCTCCTACCTTTTTATCCTGATCACTGTTTGGAAACACTCTTTAGGTGGCTCATCCAAGGCTCTCTCCACGTTATCAACTCATATCATGGTGGTAATTTTGTTCTTTGGTCCTTGCATCTTTGTTTATAGCTGGCCTCACGCCACATCACACCTAGACAAATTCCTTGCCATTTCTGATGCAGTTCTCATTCCTTTTCTGAATCTAGTCATCTACACATTCAGGAACAAGGAGATGAAGATGGCAATGAAGAGAGTATGCAGTCAACTTATTGTTTACAGAAGGATTTCTTAAATGTCAAAAGTATTATGTTGTTTCATTACTGTCTTGGAGTAACATTAAATTTATATTACTTTAATAGCAGGAGTTTCCAAGTATATTGCTAATATTTTGTTGTCCCATATTAAACATGGCTCTTTTAAAATCTTAACTGAGAAATTGTGTTGCTGGCTTACTGTTGACTGAAGTATGTGGTAGGGTGAAAAGTATCTCCAGGAGAAGACCAATTTATTGTCTCTCAGGAGACATTACTTTGGTGAATTTACCATGGTCCGGGCTTTAAAACTGAATCTCTTCATTGTCCCAGAGTGCGTTATATAAAGGATTATGGATTAATGCTAAAACAATTGACACTAGATGAAAATATACAATCAAGATGCCAATTTATTAATTTGTCACACACGCACACACAAAATCTGTGAAGTGGTCTGGAATTCCATATAGTCCTAATTCATTCTTTCACTATAGGGAAGCCTCTGGGAAGTCAAGTGATGATGAGAACATTAATAAGCAGGGAATGAGAGCAAGAGTTAGCTGGATTATTTAAATAATTAATGATATCAGGTTTTGTTAGCTTAATGCCTATATATCCCCACTAGTATATGCCTGCAATCATAACAGGGACAACAGGATCCTTAGGCTAGACCACGCTTTTGTCTGGACAGTGCTGGCTGGTCATCACAAAATTTACCTTTAACTCTCATTTGCACTATATTACAGACTGTCTATTCCTTCTATCTCCTATAGTCTTAAAGGCACATTCTTTATTTACATATGTAACTCATGTTCTTCAATTTAATTCTGCTGATACAAGACTATTAAACTGTTGCATTTGTATGATTTCAGTCATCATAAGCTAATTCTTAATTGTGGAAGTGTTTTACATATGACCATATTCCATTATATAAGAATGAGGGAGTTGGATAAAGATCAAGACACTTAGAAATTATAATTCATATTAATTTCAACAAAGGGTAACCAAGGATAATTCTCAGAGATGTAGTATGAAGAATCTGCTAATACATTTTAACCAATTTATCATTATTTTTATTTTGTTATAACCGATCCTTATTTTACGACATAATTTATCTCACCTGACAATTTATTTGCCCTTTCTTTTGCTTTCTATTGCCGTCATGTCCTTATTTATT